GTGCAGCCACAGCAAAAGTAAAAATAGCATTTTATCCAAAGCATATTTATTTCCTACAAGCATAGAGTGAAGAAAATACTGGGACCAGTGGTTTCTGTCTGTAATCTTACCACTCAAGCACAGGTGATATGCATGATTAGAACCATCTTAGGGAGTGGAGGCAAAACCTGTGCCATTCAGTGGAACATGTATCAAAATAAAATATGAAAAGCTCCTGCTGAAGCTCAGGCCAGTAGTGTTAGGTAAACCCTGTTTTATCTGCCAGGCATTGTGGCAGGTGCCTATCTTCCTAGCACATGGAAGGCTGAGGTAGAATTGCAGTGACTTCTAGACCAACATGGACTACATAGTGAGTTCAAGGTCAGACTGAATATGTAGTAAGATCCTGTCAAAAAAACAAAACAGACCTGTTTTAGGAGTCAACAGTGACAATCTGGGCTTAGTTTATTCCTTCAGTTTTGGGTTATGATTTATTCACAATATGATTACAAAATTGTAACTACTGTATTTCATTTTTGCTTCTACCTAATTTTTTCTTTCAATCATAAAGAGGAAAAAGTAAACATACAAAATACTGGTCTTCACCAAAGCCACAAAGCTCATAATGGTCATTTTTCTTGTGGTGGGAACATGTTGACATGTGTACTCCCCATGTCACACACATGACATTTGAATGTGCTTCATATGAGGATTGATTTTATGCATCTTAAAGACATTAAAGTCTACAAATCCAAAAAGTCTCATGGGATGAAGGTACTAGACTGAGTGAGCAGTTTATGGTTGTAAATGTTCCCATCAGAAAAAGTGACTCCACATAAATAACCTAATCATGTAAGTCAAGATCCTGGAAAAACAAAGACACCCCAAACACAACCTCATATATGGAAGGAAAGTGTAAAGATCAAAGCAGAAATCTATATATTTGAGACAAATAGAATATCATACCATCATTTGAATAGATATATAAAAAGCCTTTCACAAAATCCAATGTTCGCTCATGATAAAAACTTTCTTTTTGGTGAAAAGTACATAAAAATCTAATGTCAATCTGCTAAAAATCACCTATGAAAAATATTACATGAAATATGAAATAACAAAGCTTTTGCTAAAACTGAAGACAAGAATGTTAACTATGAAAAATTTTAAATATACTCCCCAACACTTTAGTCTAAGCAGCTAGGAAAGAGAGAGGAAGAAAAGGGTGTATAAAAGGAAGATATACAGGTGAATGGGTGAAGAAAATACAGTTATTCACAGCAGAATACTTCTCTGTCCTAAAAAAGAATCAGTTTGAGTCATTTATAGCAGTGCCGATACAACAAAGACCATACAAGGTGGGGAAAGTGATGGCATGGTGAAAGAAATCAACTCAAACAAATTCAGAATTCAAGCTCTAGGAAAAAAAGTGGAGAAGCACAAAGCAGTAGGAGACGGAATCAGGTGGAATGTGACAGGGAAGTTAAAGGCACCAAGAAATTGAGGAAAGAACACAAGAGAAGGGAAGAGGCCATCTGCACTTCCTCTGTGGTTTGCAGCAGCTTAGGACCATGGTCATTCACACCCCATTAAAGCAAAGTTAATGCTGGGGACCGCCAACTACCGCATGGAGAAACATAGTTGACCAGATCTAATTGGACATTGCTGTGATCTTCAAGGGAAGAGTTCAACTCTGCTCCCAATGCGTCTTTCCAGAAGCAGTGGCTGCTGAGCAAGTGTAGTACAAGTGACCACCACAGTCTTGGAGATGCTAGTTGGTAAAACAAAATCCAGTTAAGTGTTGGTTGTTTGAACCCAAGTACTAGAATAAACAGGACTCTTGCAAGGGTTCCCTTTGTCGCTATCTCTCAGGAACTAGGTAAGAGATGATCATTGGAAACAGCTGCAGTCAGACAGCAGCATGGAGACACCAAGAGGCATCTGAGCTAAAGAACCCATACCACATTCTCACAGCCATATCCCAGGTGCAACCTGACTTACTCTGGATTTGAAAGTCATGGCAAAGGTGTGCATGCCCTAGAGTTTGGTGGTGCTAGTATCCAACAAAGATGTGGGTGCTGACTCCTTTATCAGCATGAGCAAGGACATGTATGGACTTGGACACACCCCAAACTCTGTAGATCCTGGAAGATACATACAATAAAAATTAAATCAATCTCTCTCTCTCTCTCTCTCTCTCTCTCTCTCTCTCTCTCTCCCCCCCCCTCTCTCCTTTCTTACAAACAGTGTGGTTTATTCTTTCATTGTTCTTCACTAATTTACATGTTTTGGGAAACTTGACCTTCCATCTCCTGGTAGGAATCTCAGTTCCAAATCACCAGCCCCAAATTAGGGTAAACAAAAATTTATATGTGATTTGTAAGCAAAAAGTACAAAAGGTGATAGTGATCAAGTTTATAGCTGGTTACATAGATTAGATCATGTTGTTAGGCAGATTCACTTGGGGTAGGTTAACTAGAGTTGTTTATCATAAGGTGGTAACCTCAGAAAGGGAGTTGGAGCAAAGGGAGTGGGTGAAGCTAAGTCCTTGACAAGTCTATCTTAGGTAGACAGTCCTTAAAAGCAGAACATGTTACAAAGAGTACCGGCAGTGCAACTACATGCAGTTAGACTCGGCCAGGCTAAACTATCTCTGAGTTGCATCAGTTGTTTTCAGCAAAGACTGAGACTAATAGTCCACCTATGTGGTGGTTTGGGTGAACACATCTTTTAATACGATGGTTTTTCAGTTATCTGTCATATGTCAGGCCTTCATGGTTTCCATCATTTTCCTATACTCTATTTTTAAAAAAATCTATACAAGATTTTCTGAGCAATTCCTTCATTGTAGTTATCATTTTTTTCTTTCACCTGACCATTTATTTGTGACCTGATCCATTTTGTGGCCTCATGTATTTGTTTCTTTCCACTGATTGCTATTATTTCAGCAATTTCAGGTATGTGTCTTTAATTTTTCCTTATCTCAGTGTCTCCTGGACTTGTTCTTGCTGCATTGGGATTCTGATGTTGCATTTTGCTTCTGTTTCTTATCTTTTTCTATTAAAAATTTTTTTGGGATCTAGGGATTGAACTCGTGACTTCACACTTGCTATAAAATTTTTGTTTTTCTATGTGGATTCTTTTTTTTTTTTTATCGGTACCAGGGATTGAACTCATGAGCACGTGCTTGCAAGGCAGGTGCTTATGCCACTGAGCTAAATCCCCAGCCCCTCTATGTGGATTCTTGTAAAATTTTTTAGTAGGTAGCTTTATCATTAGTATCAAGGCCTCCCTAGAAAATGTTTAATCTTTTGAGATGTCTTCTGTACGTAGGAGATTCTTGGTTAGTATCTGTATCAGTCCCCAACATTTTGGTCCTGAGATGTAGTGCGGTTATTACCCTAGCGCTTCCCAGTATTGTTACAGAATGGGGAACAATTGAGTACAACAGATATGGCACCCTAGTTAAAGTAGTGCTATTAGCAATTATAATAGCATCAAGCACAATTTAGATACTGATAAGCTGTGGTAACAATTTTGTTACCTTTGATAATAGGAGCAAACCCCACAATTATATAAAAGAATCCATCATAAATCAAGAGCTTGTATGAAAAGTGTTTCTCCTTGGTAGAATGGTTTCACCCTGTTTGGGGGAAATTTAAAAAGGATAAATGATAAAACAGATTACTGAAGAGAAATACAGTAGAAACAAGGACAGAGGACAAAGGATAATCACAAAAGCTTTGGGAAGCTAGAAAAGAGGGCAAAAGAGAATGAATGAATAAGCCAGGAATTATTGAAGTTAGCCAGAAAGATTAGAGCAAATATTCACCCATATGAAAATATGGCTAAGTCAAAAAAGATAACTGAGGTTAGGGAAAAGAAGATGGATCAATTAGCATAAAAATATAAGTGAAAGACAAATCAACAAAGAAAGACGAAAACTAAAAACAAGTCCTCTGGTGCCCACCAAGAGCCCAAAACTACTGAGTGACACTGCCAAGTTTGCACTGGGTGTGGGATTGATCTTGCCTCCAGATGTGGCAGCCTGGGGCCAGTCTTCAGCCAGTACTTCCTATATATCGCTTAATGGTCTGCCCACTCCTTACTTACCCTGTTGCTCTCATCCTTCCTCTCCCAGTTGCTGTGCTGCCCTCAGACAGAGACAAGAGGTTGCTCCCGGTTTTGTGCACAGTTAGCTCCTCCTGGTCCTTGCTGTTTTCTATGTTCATCTTCCATTAAAAAGCCTGTCTTCCCAGCTTGTTTTTTCAGGATGGGCTGGAATGCTGTGCTGCAGTCTGACCCTCTCCACTTGTAGGTGCCGTCAAAGACTGATCAGTCCGAATTCTTGTTCTTCACCTGGGGGGTGGTGGTGAATGCTAATCTGTCACTCATTGTTTTGAAAGGTTCAATGCCACCACCAAGCACTTCCACTATATTCTGTAACTTCTTGTTAGGTAAGGGGGGGTGGAGTGCTGTGGGATACCTTTCTGCTCCTGCTTCCACAGTGAGGACAGCCTGGGGCTGCACAGTCCCATAGTTCAATTCCCCACACCTCTCTAACCACAGATCATGGGGGAGCAGTTAGTTGTTCCATGTACAATACACACATGGATTCTTTAACTTTGTCCCTAAGAATTCCAGTTAAAATTCTGGTGCACAAAAGGAAAGGGAAGAAAAGTTAAAGAAAAAAAAAAAAGAAAGAAAGCTAGATGATCATCATAAAGGGTGCAAGTAAGTACCTCTGTGTGTGCTGCCTGGCAAATGCAAGGTCCTGAATTAGATTCCCAGGGCGAAACAACTACATATTTCAGCCTGGCCTTGAACTAACTCACTGTATAGTCCACAGTGGTTTAGAAGTCAGACTGATTCCCCTCACTCAAGATTCTTGTGCTAGTATTACAGACATGCCATTAGGTCTCATAGATAAAACACTGAGTTGACCCAAGAATATTAGTGCATTGAGATACAACTTCAACTTTTTGTATTTTGTTTTGATACACATTCCACTGAGATGCACAAGATTTTTAACAGATTAATTTATTATTACACTATAGATACAATGATCACATTTATCATAGGGAATTTGTTTCTTTCCTGGTTACTTGTCTCTCATTGCTGGGACAAAATGCCTGAGGCTCAAAATTAAGGAAGGAAAGGTTTATTTAACTCACAATTTTTAAGAGCTTTCAGTCAATAGTCATCTGGCTTCAAGGCAGAGCAGCATGGAAGAGGAGCAACTGTTCATGACACAGGAAGACAACAAAAGCAAAAAGGAAGCAGGGCTCTTTCCCTCCCGTATATTGTATGCAAGCTACCTGCCCAGGGTGGTGTAGCACTCATGCCCGTAATTCCAGCATTGGACAATGCATCAATTACAAATGCTAGAAGCCTGTCCCCTTGTCTCCATGATGCTTCGGGGGACATCTAGACCCAAACCGTAACATTTCACCTCTGGCTCCCCCCAAAGACTCAAGCACATCTCAGCCTATCCACCCCACGACTGCATGAGGCTTTGGAGGACATCTAGACATAAACAATAACAGTACCTGGATACGATGTAACTTGACTCTTTTTTCCTCATTCCCCTACCCTCCTTTTAACCAGTAACAGTGATATTTTTTGATGCTAAAATAATAGTAAATAAATATGCTCATGATACAATGATCTTGAGTTTCAATTTTCCTTTGGCTGGAATAGCAGTATTCATTGTGCAATTTCCTGATGATAAGAATTAGAACTAAACTGCCATGAAATTACCTATACGTTTAAGTATGTAAGTCAATATTGGACCCAGGATTTAGCTCAGCAGCATTGTAATAGAACCCCATGGTAAAAGGAGCAGCTAATGATGAAACAGTGCAGAATATTTTACAAAGGACCATAGGACTAGGAAATAAAGGCAAATAAGTCAAGGATGACAGATAGTCTCATAGTGACAGCTTCCACAAGTCTTATGCAATACAAGGGATATCATTTCTTCCACTATCAGACACTGATACTTATTGATGACAAAAACCACTATATACTTACCTCTAAATTTGATAAGAGAACAAAAATGAAACACAAGGATTTTACCTGATTTGAGCTTTCCAGTTTAAACAGATGTTGATTTCCAAAGCACCCATGGTATTTGCAAAATCAAAATAGTAGACTCTACTTCATTACAAAAGTAGAAGCCATCTAATCAAAATGAACTTCAAAACTCTCAAAACTTCCTCCTCTGAGAATGTTCTTGCTGACAAATTGTATCAACATTTATAGCTTGTAGAGAGGTTAAATATTGTACTACATTGTATCTTTGAGAAATTATGTGGTTCTGGTGTTCTCTGGCAGTGGAAAACTCACAAAAATACACTAGTTTTTGGTATTGTGGATTGAAAAATTACCACCAATATAATGGCACTATGAGCACAAAAACGGAAATTTAATGATAAAAATAACTAATATTGTACACACATGAAAATAATGGTTTTTATGCAGAGAAAAAATAGGTAAAATTATGCATTGCTTATAATCTGTAAATATGTTGCAATATATAGAGATCTTAGAATATTCAAAATAAATTTGCTAATTCATTGTTTGAAAACAGATGAATCTTTAAATACTTATACACAAATTGCTAGTAATAAAATTATAAAATATGACCCAATTTAAAAATTCTTGGTAGAATAATGTACTGTATACAGCAAACTTTTAAATAGAAGCAACTGGAAAAATAACAACAATTAAGGAAAATTTGCTTTTGGACTCATGTTTCATGAGAATTTGTAAATTTAAAACAGAACAAAGGAAACAAAAATGACACAGAATACTGAGCCTAGCAGCGTGTAAGAAATACAAGTCACTTCACCTGTGAATCTAACAGTGCAAAATAAAGAAAACAATTATTAAATTTAAAACAAAATATTAGAGTCCTGTGTGGTTGCTTACAATTATGTACAGGATTATGTGAATACAACATTTATTCTTAAAAGTAAACAAAGTTATTTAATGCAGGAATCTGCTTTAAGACTAAGTTTAAAATACTTATACTTTAAGATATCTTCTCTGGTGGTATATTTCCCGGAGAAATCATTACATCTGATTTTTATAAAACTTATTTTTTAATTTAAACATGAAAAATGATAAAATGATTAGGAAATGTACTATGTATGTTCACAGGGATTTAGTACAATATTGCTTCTCACATGAAGGATAAGATAAATTTGTGTACATCCCTTATATTAATAGTTTATCACAATACTGTATTTATTTGCTATATGAATTAACCAAAATGACTACAAGTGTTTCCATTTAATACACATGTATATAAATTTCTCTTTTTCAAGGCCATGTTTCATGAAAAGTAATGTAAAAATTAAGATCTCTCACATTCTGTGTTTATACTGACACATGAATTTTTATATTTTCTGATGTTACGAAAATCATACAATACTTTCTCATTTACACAGCTTTTCTCTTTAGTGAAAATATACAAATTCCCATCCCATGTGAATTCTTTTATGTATTTGAGAAAAAATACTTTCCCACGTCTGTCACATATGTTCAAACCATCTGAATTATGACTTCTTTTATTTAGGCAATGATACCTGTATACAGAGGATTTTTTACTGTTTACATGGAAATGTTCTCCCCAATCTAATTCATGGCAGTGTGTGTCAATTCATCTACTTAGTTTTCTGTTTTCAATGTGCATGATGCTTAGTGCAGCAAAGTAGGCTTTTGCCTATTGTTTATACAACCCTTCAAGTATAATTCCTTTCATGTATTTGACAATACCTCGGTGCACAGAATACATTGACATATTGTTTACATAAGTAGAAGTTCTACAGTGTGTGTTCCTTCATGTCGATGACAATGAGCATGGTTGCTGGAAGATTTCCCACACTGTTGACATACATAGGGTTTCTCACTAGTGAGACTTCTTTCATGTAATTGACAAGTAAATTGTCTGTTGAAAGCTTTCTCACATTCCTTACATATACTTTCTCCCCAGTGTGACTTCTTTCATGTAGTTGACAACTATATTGTCTTGTGAAAGCTTTGCCACATTGTTTACACACATATGGTTTCTCCCCAGTGTGAGTCCTTTCGTGTACTTGACAATAACTTTTTGTACTAAAAGCTTTCCCACACTGCTTACACATATAGGGTCTTTCCCCTGTGTGAGATCTTTCATGTACTTGACAAGTATATTGTCTGCTGAAAGCTTTCCCACATTGTCTACATACATACGGTTTCTCCCCAGTGTGAGTTCTTTCATGTAGTTGACAGTTCCTGTGAGTACTGAAAGCTTTGCCACATTGCTTACAGACATATGGTTTGTCCCCAGTGTGAGCCCTTTCGTGTACTTGACAATAACTTTTTGTACTAAAAGCTTTCCCACAATGTGTACATACATAGGGTTTTTCCCCTGTGTGAGTCCTCTCATGTTCTTGATAATCTCTGTGTGTGCTAAAACCTTTTCCACATTGCTTACATATATAAGGCTTCTTCCCAGTGTGATTCCTTTCATGTACTCGCCAACTACTTTTAATGTTGAAAGCTTTCCCACATTGCTTACATACATATGGTTTCTCCCCTGTGTGAGTTTTTTCATGTTCTTGACAAGTATATTGTCTGCTGAAAGCTTTCCCACATTGTCTACAAACATAAGGTTTCTCCCCAGTGTGAGTCTTTTTATGTAGTTGACAATTCCCATGTGTGCTAAAAGCTTTTCCACAATGCTTACATACATAGGGTTTCTGCCCAGTGTGAGTCCATACATGTCTTTTACACTCTACATGTGTGCTGAAAGCTTTTCCACATTGCTTACATACATAGGGTTTCTCCCCAGTGTGTCTCCTTTCATGTATTTGACAACCACCACGTGTACTAAAAGCTTTCCCACATTGCTTACATAAGTATGGTTTCTCCCCAGTGTGACTTCTTTCATGTATTTGGCAATTACCACGTGTGCTAAAACCTCTCCCACATTGCTTACATAAGTATGGTTTCTCCCCAGTGTGACTTCTTTCATGTACTAGACAATTATTGTGGGTACGAAAACCTTTTCCACATTGCTTACATACATAGGATTTCTCCCTAGTATGACTTTTTTCATGTATTCGACAACTAGTATTTGTCCTGAAAGCTTTCGCACATTGCTTACATGCATAGGGTTTCTCCCCAGTGTGACTTCTTTCATGTATTCGACAGGTACTGTGTGTTCTGAAAGCTTTCCCACATTGTTTACAAACATAGCGCTTCTCCCTAATGTGACATCTTTCATGTCTTTGACAAACACTGTGTGTGCTGAAAGCTTTTCCACATTGCTTACATACACAGGATTTATTTCCAATGTGAGTTCTTTCATGACTATCAAATAAATTGTTAGTGCTAGATGTTTCATAGTGTTTACTTGTATATGATTTTTCTCCAGTTTGAGTGTTTTCATGTGTCTGAATATCACAGTGAGAATATAAATCTTTTACACATGGTACACATGTGTAAGTATTCACCTCGCTATGACTTCTTTCCACAATCTGATCATCACTGGGTGTAATGAAGAATTTCACATCTTGCTCATATATAAGTGCCTTCTCTTCAAAGGTACTGTCTTCAGTGTAATCAGAGTAGGGTTTTCCACATGGCATATATTTATGGGGTTTCTCTCCAAAACTAGTCTCTGCATGTTGCTGAAAGAACTGGAGATTTGTGCAGGCTTTCCCACGTTTGTTACAGGTAGACAGTTTCTCTTGAAATCCCTGCTGCTCATGTGGTTTGAGTGCAGTGGTAGCCATGATGGGTTCATCTGTTGATGGATGATTAACCAGGGGTCTTCCAGAGGAAATGCTTTCACCTGGTTTTTTACCAACAACTGTCATGTGCACATTTGTACCTGGTGTCAAAGCAATCATTTCTCCATGCTGATACCACAAGTTGTATGCAGGGAATTTCTCTATCTCTTCACTCCTGTAAAAGGCAAAAGTAACAGAATGATGAATAACATTTTAAAATGTCTTTTTGGTAATGATTTATCATGAATTCTGCTTTGATGTTCTCTAATAATATTTAAACATCCACTTACTGTACCTGCTGGGTGATGGCTTGGAAACAATTTTTACCCAAGCAGGATTCATTTGGGAGTTTATAATAAACACATCTGCAATACACGCAATACTTACTTTCATTTTGAGGATTTGGAATACATCTTGAAGAAACATGTTCCATATATTGATGTGTTTTGATACCTTTTCCTCATGGCTCATCCCCTCCCCTTCAACGAAGCCTCTTTACCGACTCCAAAATGTCTACCTTTCTCTTTTTTACCATCCCTTATGCATTTACTCCTTAATTCATGTTTGGGGATTCTTAAGAAAAATACAGTGGAGGGCACTGAAATTTCTCTGACTTATTTAATCTAACTTCATACATGCTAGATCCATCTATATTTCAGCAAATGATATCACTTTGTTTCTTTGTGGATGATTCATCCTATTCCATTATGTGTACACACTACCTGTTTCAGTCCTGGAAATTGATCCAGAGTTTAGCACTGACATACATCAGTGGGATTTTCAATTTTCATTTTGAAACAGTCTCATGAACCATTAAGTTGTCCAGGCTGAGCACTAGTACATGAACTTCCTACCTCAGCTTCCTATAATTCTAGGATTCAAGCATGGCTTTTTAAGCCCAAGCCATTCAATAATTCCTTAGTGAACTCAATGATGAAGATTTAGACTTTTTCTAGAGCTTAGCTTTTCTAAGTTAAACTACTACAACAAACGAGTACTTATGCATCCTGCAATATGCTTGCAAAATAGAAATTCTGTTTCCTTTTTGGTGGAATCTCTATGCACATTTGCATAGGAGATAGTCCACATTGACAGTCCTAGCAAAAACATGGGGTGTGCCTCCTAATATTTTGGAATATGAATTTGAAGGTAGACTTGAAAAATAACTATGACTGAAACAGTGGCATTCACTCAGATATTGAACACATCCACAACAGTAGTAATTTTGAAATACTGGATGTATGTATGACATTGAGCTACATATAGTATCACTGATGTAATTTGTTTGCTAACAAAGTGGTCTTTTTTTAAAAAACACATGTAGAAGCAGCCAGTCACACCCTCACGTGCCTGCCAGCCATCATCGGGAAAACCTCCCCACTAGTAACTAGCTTGAGCAGCCAGTCACGCCCCATGTACCCCCCCATACCCCCCGTCTACCATCAGGGACCTTTCCCACCAATAGCCAGTGCAGGCCAGGAGAATAAACCAGTCATGACCCCAGAGCTCCACTCCCTACCCAGGATCCTAGGTATGCAGAAACGCATATACCCCAGATGGGCAGCCAATGTGGGAAGCACCTAGAACCCCACAACTGGCTCATCTGGAGCAACCCAGCAAAGTGTCGAGATGAAGGAGCAACCTGCAATCTCAGACCTCCAACCCACACAGAAAGAACCCAGGAAACATAGACATACAAGGAATTGAAAATCACACACCTGAAATTTCTGAAATCATAGCAACTAAAGTCAAGAATCAACTTTATGAGGCTGTAAAAGAAATCAGATCAGGAATATCTCAGGTAAAAGAAATGACAACCATAATGAAAGAATTGCTAACTATATCTAAATAAGACATAGATTTAAAAAAAGCATAGGAAAATGATGGAAACCTTGAATGAAATAGGAAAAAATTAGAATATATGAAATACATTCAAAGAGCTATCTAGGGAATTAAAAACTCCACTGAAAGCTGGCAAAATCACTTGAAAGAAACAAGATAGATATTTCAGACCTTGAAGACAAGATTGCAGCTAGTAAAAAAAAAGATTGCAGCTAATGATCCTAAAGGGAAAGATTTCTTAAAATTAACATGGAACCAGGAAATGACAAATGAAAGCTGTGAGATAAGGCAAAGAAAAATCATTTAATATTGATATATTTCAGAAAAAAAAAGTAGGAGTCAACACAAATGACATAAAAAGACTCTACAGAAAAATAGCAGATAACTTCTCAAGTGTGGGAAAAGGACCTGACATACAGATAAATGAGATAAATGAGGTATATAGAACTCTAAACACCAATAACCAAAATAAATCTACACCTAGACAAATAATAATCAAGATCCCAGAAATTCAGCATGAAAACAATATTGAAAGCTGTTACAGTAAAGAAACAGATCACCTATCATGAAAGTCCATTAGAATCACAGCAGAATTCTCAACACAATCGCTAAAATAAAGAAGAGCTTAGAGTAAAGTATTTCATGTTCTGAAGAAAACATTTTCCAACTCAGATTGTTGCATCTTGCAAAACTATCTTTCAAAAATAATGGAGACATAAGATACTTCCATGATCAAGAACTGAAGGAATTCATGAGCACCAAACCAACCCTATAAAGAGTACTAAAGAATATCTAGAGAGAGATAAAGATGACCCAGGTTCCATGAACAGCAGCAGAGGGGGACTGCTGAGCAGAGCAGGCAACTGAATAGAGGAGAGAAGTAGGGCGCCAACAGCAGGAAAATAACACAGCAGACACTTGCCAGTGCATGCTGGCTATAGCCGTTAATGCACATGGCTTCAATTTACCAATAAAAAGAAACAGGCAGAGTGGGTCAAGAAACAAGATCTACCAAAATGCTGTACACAAGAAACACATTTAACTCAAAAGGAAATTCTCAAACTGAGAGTTAAAGGAGAGAAAACAAAGCTCCATGTGACAGAGACCGTGAAAAAAACAGGGGTAGCTTGTCCATCAACCTCAGAATGGTAAGAAAGACACGGTGTTTTTACACAATGGCATGCTACTCAGCTACAAAGACGGATGATTCTGAGGCTCGTGTAGGTAGATAGATGCAACTTGAGATCATGCTCATGGGTGAAATGGATCAGACTCACCTGGGTGAACACTGTGTTGTCTCCTTAGTGTCAAAGACTAAAGGAGATTGTGGGATCCAAAATGTACAATAGACATGGGAAAGTGAAAGGGAGGAAATGACTAAAAAGGGAAGGAACACTGATATGGGGGAAAGGAGAAAAGAAAAGAAAAGCAAAGAATATATGTACATGTGTGTGTGTGTGTGTGTGTGTGTGTGTATACACAGATAGATAGATAGATAGATAGATAATTATAGTACAAACCTCTTTTAACAAAAAGAATGGTTTGTGCTTTCATTGTTTGATCATTTTATCATACATAGCTGGCAATATAAACAACTACTTGGAAAACAACAATATACAACATAGTAATCATTAATTCCCATTTATTCTGTTTTGAAATCTTTTTGAAATTATTTTTTTCATTTTAATAAACATGTAATATAATTAAAATGTAGGTCTCAGTGCATATACAAATTTTATTTTATATATTCCTGTCCTCAATGCCTAAATTGTTTCATTCAACATATCTATAATTCTGAGCATGGAATATAATTAATTTGTACTTTTTTTTTGAGGCAGGATATCTCTCTGAAGTTGAGACTAGCTTTGAACTCAGTATGTGCCATAGGCTGACCTGGAACTTGTGGCAATTTCCTGCCTCAGCTTCCCAAGAGGCAGATGCTATCACAACTAGATGTTTGCTATTTTACATTAGATCAATGATGTCACTTTTTGAATAATATCATTACCACATGCATCTCAGGTATTAAAATGATTCAAATATGTGATTTTTTTACATTAGCAATATTAAATGTGTATAAGTCCTTGGAGAAATATGAGACTAAAGAAATTTGAACATGGTCCTGTTTGTGTAGTTTGATTTGGTTTCATATTCTAACACTTGAGGAACATTTTTCTCATGATTACCTTAGAGTTTTCCTGCAATTTTTGTATTCATCTTCAATTTGCTGGTCATCTGAGTTCCTTCCTAAAGTGCAGAGACAGAAATATAATGATGTTTTACATTATATGAAAATAAGTAGATTCCAGTTAGACTCATGGTGAAATGTAAGCATGCCTGGAAGATCTCTTATAACTTCCATTTTCCCACTAAGGAAACTGCCAGTGAATACCAACCCATGCTCTATGATTGCATAAATGACAAAATGGTATCTTCCATACCTACGGCAGCCAGGTTCCTCAGGGTTTCCCACATCACATCTCTGTAGAGCTTCTTTTGGGATGAATCCAGCAAAGCCCACTCCTCTCTGGTGAAGTTCACACTCACATCCTCGAGGGTCACTGCCTCCTACAATATCACACATATATTTTCAGGAAGAAGAGTAAGATTCGTAACACTAAACATCTTAACTTATAAAATGCTCAAGTGAGGCTGAGTTTTGCAAACATTTACTTCCTGTCTTGTTCATCAAACAATTATTCTCCATATGTACATGTCACATAGGAAACGTGATGCTATGCTGAAATTCAGTGCTAAAACAATAGTGGAACAGGAATTCTGTTTCTTCTGCTGGTTAAACCCAAATTTACCAATACAAAGTCACTAAAGCATGGGTCACAGAAGGACCCACACATTAGAATCCAAGTGAAAAAAGTAAGGTAGGTAAATGCTGATGAATTACTCTGATGGGCCAAAAAATACCTTTTTTTCTCAACTTGTTATTTAGAGAACTGATCTCCTCTTTCTCAGTTCTATGTAGGTAGCCTTTTGAAACTTGAACCTGACAAAGCCTTCTATGTTTTTAGTTTCTATTAGAGAATGCCCAAGAACAATGACATTAGGTTAAGGAATCTATATTATCTTATGGCTCAATGACCCGAAAGGTAGCTTAATGGGGAGAAATAGGGAGATGGATATCATCAAAATGTATGTGAAATGCACTGATCACCAATACTTTGCAAACTTAACAGGCACAGAACATAATGATGATGTACTACATTATGTGAAATCAGTAGATTAAATTTAGACTCAGGGAAGGAAAAATTGAAGAAAAAATTTTCACTTCCCAAAACACCTTCAAATATAACAATCTAGAACCTGTTCTTTTGTAACACAGTATGCACACACTACAAGCTCCACAATGGCTCCCGGAGGACAGAGAATGGTACTTTGAATTTCTCCATCTGTGAGATCTGTATAATTACTTTCCTAGCCTGGGGACGTGACCACAGTACCTAATGTCTAGGCATTCTTCATACTCTGCACTCTTCATGTAATTCCCTCGGAAATTCTCCTCCCCTTCCTTTTCCATGGCCCCTCTGGCTCCCTCCAGGGCTGACTTCTCCGTGATAATGAATCCAGCTGATTTTGTTCTCTCCTGGAAACCTCCCACACCCCCAGCTTGGCAGCACTGCACATTTCTCCACCCCCTGCGGAGCTTCCCATCCCAGCACCTCCACCACTTCTTCCCCTGCTCTAGGGCCCCCTGCTCATCTGACAGCTACCCCACCTCTCTACCTAGCATTTCTTTGTGAATGTGAACCTCCTCGTTACATTCTCTCTCCCTCATTCCATCTCATACCTGGTCCAAGCAGTGTGTGGCATCTCCCCCATTCCCTGCTCCCCAGTTCTCACTTAGAGAAGTGCAGGAATAGAGGAAATGGTCCGAGTTCATGCTCCCTTTTCCTTGTGAAATCTCTCTCAGATCAATCAGCATCTTTCTTCCTTTTTCACAGATGCTACCAAATATATTCAATATATATTATATTCTAATACCTCATGCAGTCTTATGACCAGAACTGGGATGACTCTTATCCTTTTCTCAACCCTCTCATCTGATCAATGGGAATGTGTTTGTTCTTCAGCTCAGGCTTCTGTAGATGATCACAGCTGCCTTGTGTCTAACCTTCAGGAGGGCACTGTGGTCATTCTGAGCCAAACTAAACTGGGACTTCCACTGGCTACATCAGAATGCTCAAGCCACTGCTTGAGGGAATTGTAAATATAAGGTTGCCTCTTGGTCCAAGGACTCCAGAAGACCGCACACATGGCAGTCAACTGTGACAGGCTTAAGGAAACAAGTCCAACAAAAGATGAAAATTTGGCTCAATTTATGGCTCATGTGGCTGCTACTCCAGATGTTATACGGCCTTAGACCCAGAAGGTAAACTGGTCTTAAAGAAGAATTTCCTTCCTCAGTCAGCTCCAGATATTTGAAAAAATTCTACCAAAACTGGAAGGCAGCCCTCAAACCCCACAACACAAGTTAGTAAAGCTGGCCTTTAACATCTTTAATAGTAGTTCCAGTTACCTGGAAACTGCATTTCTGACTGTCAGCTGTTTGCTTCCACCCTAAGAAACCTACAGGCTGGGTTAGAGATTCAGCCAACAGCCAAGGGTCCCTAAAGTCTCTCCAGTCCAGAGGCATGCAGGTATACAAGCCTTGTGCTGCTCTGACTTCATCAAGCCTTCTCAGGTGGTCTGTGGTGGTCTCGTGCCCATGCAGATTCTTACGCTGACATCTGCCCAATTTCCCCATGTAACTGAGCCAGACTCAGGTCTTCCATCTCCACTTTGGGCAGATGGCACGGTGACCAGGGGCAGGACTGACGGATCATTGTCAGGCCAGAAGCTGAGCACCGGGGCGTGGGCAGCACAAATTCAACTCTGGCAGAAAGAGTGAAAGGGAGACTGGGGTGCCCAGTCACCTACATGCCCACCAGCTCACACATCCACTGCACCTGCTGGGCAGAAACTCTGAACACAACGCTATTCCCCCACCATGTGAGGACAAGGAGACCGGGGATGCAAAATCACCTAACATTGTGGGACACAAATGAAAGGAGTGCACAACATTAAATATTGTACCTAAACATCAAAAGATCAATTCACACACTTCTATTTCCATTTTAGTTGAAATAACATAGACAGCAATGTTCTCGTCTAAGCAACAAAAAAGTTAACATTTAAAATCCACAACCCTTCTAGAAAAAGCCCATCTATTGCACTTTCAAAGTGCAAAAATGAGAATGCAGCCTAACAGAAGGATAAATTCTTCTGACAGGAAACTATGAGCAGAAGGATGGTAGATAAAATACAAGCGTCCTGATGAACAAGAATGAAGGAATTCTGAGACTTAAACATCTCCTGGGACCAGTTTTTTTGGGGGGTGAACTGAGAATTAAACTCAGAGCCTTGCACTTGATAAGCAGGTGCCATAATGCTGAGCTACACCCTCAGCCCCTGTGAACAGTTTATAAGACCTAAAAATGACTCACTTTTACCCCATGAAACACTGCCAGGTTTTCACAGTGAGTATCAGAAAAAAATTGTTTTATGTTTCTAACAATAGGGTGGGGTTTTGAAAATTCTGATGTTTTGTTTTTGTTTTTGTTTTTTGGTCTTTTTCCTTTTTATTGGTACCAGGGATCGAACTCACGACTGCTTGCTTGCAAGGCAGGCATTTATGCTGCTGAGCTAAATCCCCAGCCCCAAATTCTGGTATTTTAATAAATTCAGACTGAATAAGCAAAAACTTTTATAGACAAGGAGATTATACAGAAACCATTGTTCATTTTCTGTTAGTTGATTGTCATTCTCTTAAATGGTTTTACATTGTTTTGATATATTTGATGCTACAGTATACGAAGCTATACTCAAAGATTTCAAGGGAAGAGACAATATGGTAACTACTTTTATGTCGAGATTATCTTGTGGTGAAACACTATTTTGCTTAAATGGTTATGTTTTGATCTGTGCTGTTTTGCTGTTATACCCTCTTTTATCTCAATCTCCACTTCATTATTTACTTTTTTATTTTTATCCTTTTAATTAAGGCAAAAATAAATAAAAAATAGCAGGATATATTATAGTAACCCACTTTGACTTTCCACTGTCTTCATTTAAAGCCCTGTATTGCTCTCACCATCTTGTTCTGACTGATGTCCCCCTATTCTGCTTTGCTTGATAGTACCAGGTTCGAAAGTTTAGGCAACAGCTGTGAAGATAGTGGGATTCATTATGACGCCAATTCTGGTTGACTATTATCTACTTTTGAAGGCCTATAATGTCTCCAATGTTTTGGTTTTGTTCTTTTTTTGTTTTGTTCAATTTTATTATAACTGATGATATAGGCAATTCTATTAGAGATAGCGGGAGGCATTATGGTAACCATTGTTGATCACCTTGTATTATGCTTTTACATTATCTATTATGTCCACCCTTTTATTTGACTGACTCTGTTCTGTTATGTCACATTTCGTTCTACTCTCTTCCAAAAAAGTAATAAGAACTGTGGGAGCAACAAAACCCAAAATGTGTAATTGTCATTGTACAAAAGAGAGGAAAAGAAAGTGCTCTAAACGATATAACTGCATGTATATTTAAGTGTATAAGACAGATAATGATATTACTGAGTTTTGTTGGATCATTGAACAGAACTGTTTGCAGTCTCACTGTTGGAATGTCCACTTTATAAGCTTTAATTTTGTAACTTGAACAATTATTTCTAAGATGACAATATGTAATCCATTAACTAGTGATTTCCTACTGTTTATTTTTTTCTGTAAATCTGTGTAACTTGTACCTTTTCTCTTTTTTTTCTTTTTCTCCTTAAATAAAATTAAAAAAAAAAAATAAATTCAGACTGAATAAAACCCCCAGAGAACTACAAAGCCTGATTACCTGGGACATTTCTACACACAAAGGCTTTGCTGGATGTGAAGCTCCCAACTCCAGCCACTCCAATCTTCCTCCCTAAACAATGACCACGCAGAATGTGATTTTGACATTTTCCTCATGAGAGCAATCAGATATTCATCCTTGAACAATAAACAGCAGCAGTAAAACTGCAGAGGAAGAGAAAGATACGGCTCAGAAAGGAATAAAATAAACTAGGAAAAATGGATCTGAAAATAAGCAGTGAATAATTATACAAAGGTAATTAGGCAAATATCTTAATTATAAAAAAGTAGCAGATGCTCTCAGAGACAGATAACCTAAAGGCAACAAATGATATTTGTAGAAATAGCAGTAAAGAGATAGACATTTAAAAAGATAACACAGAAGTTATCCAAGTTCAGACAAGAATAAATGAACTGAACCTATTGCCACAGATTCTATTATATAACTAAGAAATTATGTTCAAACTGGTAACATCGACAATCTACTTGATGCTTAGTACTATGGATTTGGAATATGACAGAAATGAATTGTGAGTACAATAGAAAAGACTGTGACTATCCCAACGTATTGGAAACATTTTTACTGTGCCAGTTATCCGGGACACCTGCAGTGACTCCCAGTGTGCTGCACAGAGTTACAGCATATGATGAGAAAGAAAAAGAGCAAGAGAGAAAAACTGCAAGGAAATAGGGATCTGGACGATCAGTGTTCTCTGGGAACACAGACCAAGAATCTCCAGTCAGCCACCATTCTATTAGCGAGTGCAACAGGACGAGTACAGTGCTTTTCCTAGAACAACACAAAGTAGTGTTAAAAGGGCAAGTTTAACACCGTAAGTTAAACTAAGACTCATCCCCAAATCTGGGTACTAGTTTTCCCTGAATCGTCCTCAGCACTTTTTACTGCTCTCTGACCTTCATATTCTCATTGACCATCAAGATCTCAGTGGTAACCGAAAGGATGCAGGATTTCCACATTCCAAAAGTGGTCCACAAGGCAGGGTAAAGAGGGGCTCAGACAGATAACATGTCAACTTAGAATTCAGGGTCCCCATCACCAAGGTACCTGTCTCTAGATCATAGGCCATTTCAAAGAGGAGTTTAGATTAGTGATAAATACTGGAAAAGTAGAAAATACTAGGACAAAATCCTACTGGACATCTTAGGAGACAAGAGAACCATTTAAAATGCAATGAAAATAAAATGAGAGAAAAGCTCCAGAAAAATTGTACATTATTTGAAACAGAACACGAAAAACAATAGAAACTGAAATGAAAAAAGCTCTATAAAAATTGAAATGTAATAACTGGCTAATTTAACCATCCAAAATGTATATTTTTTCAAAATATCAAGCTTTAAATTATAAACATATTAAATTTCCACTTATAAATGAAAATAAATATTTTTCAAATGTAACAAATACAAGACACATAAAGGAAAAATACAGAATGGAGTTTTCATAAAGATAAACCAGTCTAGCATTGATTCAATATTTACTGAATGTATAATAGTTTGACAGTATTCAATATGTATCTAAATGAAAATAAGAATTACCATACTCAGATGATCATATAAAATGCAGTTCTTGAAGAAGAGTTAACACTGCTTAAGAAATATTTTACTTACAAAGCATCAAATAACATGAAAGAATATTGAAATTGAAGGGAAATTCAAAGGGTTGTGTTTCTGATGACCATACTTATATCTATAATTAATAGAACAACAAGGCAAAAACCAAGATACACTTAAGCCAATATTGATAATAAAGTCAATGAATATTGGTTAACTGTTCATCTGTTTCCTCTAACCAATGCAGAGGAAACAGTCTTCTCGGAATTTCAAGAAACATTCACCAACACAAATCAACACAGCAATAACAAAGACCTTACCATGTCCAAAGACATGGAAATAATGGATGCAGGCCAGGGAGAGGCCTGTTTCTCTGCAGATATAAAGGTAACCCACACGCAGAAGGTTAAACACACTCCTGAGCTTGCACATCAGCCTCATTCAGACCATGCGGCTCAATGGTTCTCACTCCTTTAGGGGTGTGGTGTGTGAATATGACATGGGAAGCCTGGAAATTTAAATCTGGGATTCCACACAGCCTACTTCAACATTCTCCTATGGTAAAACTGCTTAAATTACAAAGGCCTAATTCTGAGCAGAGAGCAACACTCACCCACAGTCATTTAAAGACTGACTTACTCATTTTCCCAATTTCCCTTCTGTACTCAAGTGTGTTGTTTGCTAATCACCAAATAAGTCTCCAAAAAGAACTATCTGTAATGGGCCTGAAATTCTATACTCATGTTACCCAGAGCTACCACCAGTCTGACCAACTGAGATGCCAGACGTGGTTCACAGCTCAAAAAGCAGATCATGTGATGTCTTTTGTCACAAGTCAATATTAAGAAGGGCCATGGAATGGCACATGGACTTTTCCTATTAACGTAAATGAAGATAACTGTCTCAACATGGACTGTAATAAAAAGACAGACATTTCTAGAGTTTGAAAATGACAGTTGTAACATTCCATCCCAGAAAAGGGGAGAATATAATTTCCAAAAAATTGTACTAACCAAAAGTAATCTAAAATTCACAAATATCTACAGCCAGAAAAATTCAAGGATTTTTTTCAGAGTGAGTTATCACACATTCTCATTTGGCAAATAATTACAATATCATGCATATTTAAAAAAAACTAAATAGTTAATGATGTTTAATTTAACCAAGGGTTGTGAACTTGGCAAGTAGAAGTGATTTTTAAAACCACCACCAGAGCAGAGTTTGAGAATCCACTCCTGTAATGAAACCATTCTCATGGAATCAGGAAAGATCATAAGGTAAACCCTCACTGTATACCACACAGTGAGACTCACTCTTAAAACTTACTGCTACTACTACTACTAATTTTAAAAATGGATATTAGTGGAGAGCAAATGTCCAAGACAAAAAGTATCCATTCAATGACAGACAATGTTTTCCCTTAATCCCTTTAACACATAACAAGGCCAGACACAATTTTCTAAGTTCCAGTTTTAGCTCATGTGTGTTTATATAACTCTGTAACAAAAGATTAACCTAACATTTCTAAAACTTATCTCTTCTATTTGGGTCTCTGATATTTTACTTGTATTTAATGTGAATCAGCATAAGACTGCTTGTTCACTGTCACCACTAAACTCTTAACCTCAAGGGTGTATCTTTCCTAGTTTAGGAACTGACTTTGCCACACTCCATCAGCCTCTCCTTTCATACATTCCATCCTCCTCCTTTACTCTTCCCTGAACCAAAAATCCTTTTATGCCTGACAACTAATATGCAGGCAAAGTAGACAACAGGTTCTTACACCCTGCGGCAGCACACTTCCATGAAAAGAGCTATCTCAATACAAACTCCATTATTTAAAACATTTCCAAACCACCCAAAACTGTACTGATCATGTGAGAGTAGTACCCACGTCTCCTTCCACTCATACCCAAAGGATATTTACAGGAGGAAGGTCCACTTCAAATAAAGTATCAGGTACTGGTTAATATGCAATCCTTTTGGAAAGCTGTTATTTGAAAACTTCCATTTTCTTATTCAAAAATCAGTAATTCCTCCTCCAAATTTCTAGCCATTTTAAACACTAATGGAAACTTATTCTTATTTTTACTGTTTTCAATGTTGTGGATTTAACAGTGAAATTTAGCAACCTTCATGTTTGCTAAACCACTGAGATCCAATGAAATGTTAATCTTTTTTTTAGTTTTATTGGCATATTATCAAAACCAACCAATGACATTTACAATGTAAAAAAGTAGTTAGAAATATAGAAATTTACTGTCATCACAATGAAATCAGAGTTGAGAATATAACTTGTGGGTTTGAGATCCTGTATTTCTAACATGGATTAAGTTTCACAACAGTGGATAACTCACCCAATTTCACATTACTGGGACAAAGTATGCCATATGCACACCATAAAAAGATTTCACGACTCACGGTTTCATTCCATGATGAGCTGGGAATATGGCAAAAAGCATGGTGGAGGATAGGTTCCAGGAGGGAGAAGATGGAGGACAGGACTTTTCCAAGTCACACTCAAGTGGCCCACTTCTATAGTTTCCAGATCCTCACAGCACATCCACTTACCGAGCAATGTATGTGGGGGCTGCTGAGCACGTGGCCCCCACAATCCAAACAACACACACACACACACACACACACACACACACACACACACACACACAAGGCATCTGGGGGACATCTGAATATAAACAATGATACCAAGTCTACTGTTGGTGGAAAAACACACAGGACACCCAAAATGTCATAGTGCCACATGCTAAGAGTCAGAAGTCTCTCTGCAAACTGCCAGTATTCACACATTTTGCAGAGAAGCATGGCTACAGGCGCTAAGCTACTTAAACCACCCTCTCCATGCTGAAGTCACCTCACTGGGATAGGAAAAGATACTGAGGTCCTGGTTACTGGCACATCCTCACTCTGAGATCTAGGAATGACCAAGGGTGTAGTTTCAGCAGTTGCCATGAAGGAACAAAGACACTACAACATATAAAGAGAGACCCAAGTCCTGCCAGGACTAGTTCACTTCAGACATCAAAATCCACTCCTACAAAACACCTAGAATCAATCCAAGGCCAGAATCCATGGAATAAATAAAGTCAGGGGCTGAAATACAAACCTCCCTACAATCCTCTGTGTAATAGCTTGGGGAGAATGAAATGACAAATAATATTTCCAGCATATTCATACTATAATAACTTCAATTATTACTTCATTCAAAATTCCAGTTTTAGTCAAGTCACACTACTTAGTGTTGTGATAGTAAAGCCATAGTGAACATCAAAAATTCATCTTTTGAGGGCTGGGGATTTAGCTCAGCGGCATAAGTGCCTGCTTGGCAAGCACAAGGTCATGAGTTCAATCCCTGGTACCAAATAACAAACAAACAATAACCCCACCAAAAATTCATTTTTTGACCATCTTGAGTGTAGTTAGATGAAATCAAAGGAATAAAGTAGAAGTAGGTACAACCGTATCTCTTTACCAGCATCATGGTTCTATGGAGAGATATGTATGTTCATAATAAATGTAAGAGAAATAGTTTATGTCTAATTTTTTGCTTCTGATGTAGTATACTGGTTTCCAAAATCATCAAATCCTCATGGATAAGTTATGAAACAATATATTCTACACACTTCTGGTTCTTTCTCTCTGTGCCTCTGGTTGCCTGTCTGTCTGTCTTTGTTTCTGTTTCTCTTTCTGTTTGTCTCTAAATTTCAAAAGAAACCATGAAAAGTATTTTCACAGAACACACACTCAGAACATTAAATACACTCCTGAGCTGACACACTACTCTCACGGTACCCCACACACCCAGGGTGTCTCACTTCCGAGTGGTGCTAACACAGGCAATACCACGAGATCTGAGTTAGGAATTCCCATTCATGCTTCCTACCCTTCCTCCCAAGGTAAAACCGCATTTTACACAGGCTTAATTCAGAAAAATACCAAAACTCACCAGTTCACTGAAGATCTACCTATGTCTTTCCCAAATTTCACTTCAACATTTAAACATCATTTTTGTTGAACAGTAGGAAATTCTTCAACAGAAATACATGGGCCACAAGTTCACTTCTCACATCACCCACAGTTAACACAGTTCCGTCAACTCAGAGCCAAGTCTCTTACACAGTCACAAAATCAGATTCCAAAAATAAATATTTTGAAGTGGTATATAAAAAGAGATAGATATTTATAGTGTTTCACAAACTGTAATAGGTTTAGGTTGTTTATTCCAGATTCTAGGAATAATTATCACTTAAAAAAATCTATTGGACACACATACCACTACTCTGATCTTTACAAAAATTATGTAAAGTTGGAAGAATCCAAAGATTGATTTTTCACTGGTTACTACACATTCTCTACGGACACAAATTACAACTTTTTGGACATAACCACAAATAGCTGATGATGTGTAATTTAACCCTACATTGTGACCTTGTAAACAGAACTGAATGTAAAGGCCCTAACATAGCTGTGTTTTGTGATGCACATCTGTATTCACACTGTAGGAACCACTGTAAGTGGAAAGGAAATATAAAACTTATACTTCTAATACAGTTACATTACTGATCATTATTTAAGGATGGGACTCTGAAGCGCACCAGTTCCTAAAATTAGAAAGCTACAAAATTTAAGGAGCCATGACATTCCATTTCCAGGTGCAAGATAAGTGTAGTTCAGTCAGGTGGTGAAGTTCCCAGAGGCGTATCCTCTCAAGGACCACCCAGCTCAGTCTTAGTCAATGATTGGTTCTTCCTGATTGCTATATGATTGTAACCCCAATTAAGTTAATGTAGTATAAATTCTGCTAGCAATATGTGACAAGACGTGTGTAACCAATTATAAAATATCACAGTATCTGTCTTTTGTACCTCTTCTGTAAACTTATATAAGAACTGTTTTTCAGTCATTTGTGGACTGTGAGGGAGGAGAACAAGAAGTTAACAAGAAGGTAAGACCTCCTGTGAGTTGGTGCCAAGTGCGGGCTGACTGGGAAGTGCCAGATACCAACCCCTTCCAGCACATAGGCAGGGAGACAAGAAGGGCCAACACCCCTCCACCCCGATAAGTGAACAGCTGAAGTGGAGAAGAACAGGCTGTGACAAGAGCAAATGAGATAAAATACAACTAACTGCTGGTAACATTTAGTGTTTCACTGACTTTGCAGGCCTAAAGCCAGTAGTCTGATCATCTATTAAAAGGGTAACAATACACACTGTAGCATAGATAGGGGATCTTCTTCTGAAGATCATTAATTCCCTATTATCCTGTTTTGAAATCCTGTATCATTCTCATTGTTTTGCTTCATTGGATTTTATTCTGTTTTATCTTTTTGACTTTATTACATCTGATGGCACGGGCAGCTATTTCAAACACCAAAAGATATATTATGCTAGCCATTGGTGATTTCCTATTATCTTGTTTTGAAGTTTTGTATTTCATTCATTGTTTTCTCTTAATTGGTCCTATTCTGTTCTGTCTTGTTTGATTTAATTATGTCTGAAGGAATGGGTAGTGATTTTGATACACCTTTTTTTTTTTTTTTTTTTTTTTTTTTTTGTACTAGGGATTGAACCTTGTGCGTGGCAAGCAGGCACTTATGCTGCTGAGCTAAATCCCTGGCCTGGGCAGCTATTTTAAAGACAACACGAGGCATTATGGTAATCACTGTTTGATTTTCTATTATCTTGTTTTGAAATCCTGTGTCACTTACACTGTCTTGTTTTGATTGACTTTATTCTGCTATATTTTGCTTGGTTTAATTCTCTTAAAAATAAAATTTTTAAAAAGCCAGTAACGTTTTCCCCAAAATGGTGCTGGCAATGCAGACCTCCATGTTCCCCACTCAGCCTGACAACACAATAAAGCTGCCTGCCTTATGGGGTGCCTCTGGTGCCATGACTTTCATCTGGCCTAGATCTGCATTTCCACACTGACACCACTCTCAGAGTTTGAGGCAGAACCATCAAATTAAACACCCAGTTTATATAACCCAAAGACTATCAAAATGACCTAATAAGACTAAAAAAATTTTTTAAAATTTGCTCAGAGTAATGCCCTGAATTCATATGAAATGCGCTTCCCGTGACACTTGGAGAATGTTCACCAGATTTTTATCCCTACAACAAGGCCAGACAATTTTCTGTTCCCATTTTGCCTCATGAGACATTTGGTGAATGGACACTTGCAATGGTAATTTCATTGGTGTAACTTTAATTTCTCAATTATTTTTTCCAGCCAGTGACTGCTGAATCATATTCAACACAGGCCAGCATTAGAGGACAAAATGGTACATTATGTAAAAGTCATGAGCGGAGCAAAGATGGTAGATAGATAACAGCTGGCTACAGAGGTTCCCTGAGATAGTCAACTTAGAATTCGACATAATACTTCATGGGGAGCCCCAAACAGCGGGAGATGAATTCTCTCGTCCCAAGAAGAAACTAAGGTGAGAAGAACCAATCAAACATACAGTCCCAGTGCTATTACTGGAACAGCTAAAGGATCAGTGCTCCTGCCACAGCGGGCGACTTGCCCAGCCGTCTGACATCCCGCCACTTTGACTCACTGGAGGCACAGTCACACTGAGGTTGGGAGTCGGCCAGCTAAACAGAGAGCTGAGCTGGAGGGGAGCCTGCATCAACCTGTGATGAGTGATGGGAGTGGAGCCATTCCACAGAAAGGGGGGCTCTGGTGGATGACATTCTGGGGTTGGGCAGGACTGGCAAGTACGAGAGGCAGCAGTGACTTCAGTCAGTTGTTCCCTTCCCAAACAGAATTGGTGGAGTGAGCTAGGACTGGGTCACATGACCTATCTGAGAACCAATAAGTTGTCCGAGATCAGTTCTCTGTGGTGGCGGTACACACAAATGCAGTGAAGCCTCAGAAGTTTGACTAACCCAGAGGGGAGGCCATGCAGACTGGTGCAGTGGAGGCCTCAGCAGCTTGGCTGATCCAGAGGGGAGAGACCAGCATATGCTGCCCTGTCTTCTGCAACTCATTAGCAGTGGGAGAGGTCGCCTGGCCGGCATGCTTCAGAGGAATTATAACCAACAAAGAAAGAAACTGGGGCCTCCTGAAAGAAACAAAGAAGATGGGAAGAGGAAGCAACAACAAAAAGTCCCCAGGTCCCAACCCTGAGAACACTGGTCCAGGACAGATAAATACAAAGGAGAATGAGAACAGCAAACAAGCAATATCAGACACAGCACCAGTGGACATAAAAAAGATATATTCCGGACCTCATAGACAAGTTCAAAAGGGAAATATTTAGTCAAGTAAAGCAAGATATAAGGAGATTAATAAAAGAGGGGCTGGGGATTTAGCTCAGTGGCATAAGCCCCTGCCTTGCAAGCAGGTGATCGTGAGTTCGATCCCCGGTACCGATAAAAATGAAAAAGACAAAAAAAAAAAAAAAAAAGAAGATTAATAAAAGAGATGCTAAGCACTCCTCAAGCAGACACAGATGGAAGAAGGGAGGAACTCAAACAAAGGAGAGAACCATTTGATGAAGAATATAAAGAAAATACAGAATACATGAAACAGATTCAAAGAGATTATCAGGAAATTAACAACTCTATGGAAAGATGGCAAATCTGCCTGAAAGAAACTAAGGATAGATTATCCAAACTGGAGGATAGTTTTGCAATGTGAGATTATGAAAGGAAAAACTTTTTAAAAATAACAAGGAAACAAGCAGTAACAATACAAAGGCCAGAAGATGACAGGATCTATCACTTGAGAATAAAGAATATGCATTAAGAAGCAGGGGTACAAACAAAGGAACTACACAGAAATAATTCAGGAAAACTTCCCAAACATAGGAAAAGGAAATGATATTCTGATGTGTGAGGCATACAGTACTCCAGCCACGTACAACCAAAACAGAGCCACACCCAGGCATATAATAATTAAGATCCCAGAAATTCAATATAAGAACAGAATATTAAAAGCTGTTAGAGACAAGAAACAGATAACCTATAAAGGAAGGCCCATCAGAATAATGGCAGACTTCGTGACATAAACCATCAAGTCAAGAAGAGCCTGGAGCAAAATATTCCAAGCCCTGAAAGAAAATAACTTCAAACCCAGATTGATATACCCTGCTAAACTGTCTCTAGAAATTAATGGAGAAACAAGATGCTTCCAAGACAAAGAGGAACTTGGGAAATTCACAACCACCAATCCACTCTACAGAGAATACTGCAGGGTATTCTAGAGAGAGGGAAAAGTACTAGGATTCCAAGAAGAGTGGCAGAGAAGCCTCAATGAATGGAGCAGAAAATAGAATGAGGAAGATAAGCAGACAACTGATGGCAAAAAGAGAGCATAACAGAAATGAGGCAGAGAAGGTTGGTTATAATCTTTAATATAGATGGCCTTGATACACTAAATTAAAAAAGAAACACACATGGAGTAGATCAGGAGGCAGGGTCCACGGAGATGCTATTTCTAGGAAATATAATTAACATGAAAAAGAGTACATGGACTGAAAATCAAATATGAGAAAACAATGCTTTATGTGACAGAGAACCAGAGAGTAATAGGGGCAACTAGACCAGAATTTGTGGATAAGTCGGAAAGACAGGCTTTAATAGGTACAGGAATATAATTAGAGATCAAGTCCAGGAGAGACAAGATTCGGAAACACTTAGGTAAATAGCAGGTTACCTCCACCCCACCCCCCCAATTTAAAACCAAATGTCTTGGTCAGACCCAAAAGTGCACGATGTACCCTGGGGAAGTGAAAAGGGAGGGAGAAGATATTAAAAAAGATGGCAGAAGATATTGTTAATAGTATATCAAGATTTAAAACCCACATTACTCATACCACTCTGCTTAGACAGATTTTATTCTTTTTTTCATAGATTTTATTCTGCCCCAGTTTGTCTACTTGCATTAGATTTGAGGGCACAGACAGCTATCCCAAAAACATCACGATATAGCACAGTAATCATCTTTAATTTCCTATCATCTTAATCTGGAGTCCTGTATGACTTACACTGTTTTATCATGACTGATCTTCGCTAAATCTGGTTTGTTTGATTGCTGTTTGGTGTCGACAGATTTTATTGAAAATTGATATGATGGATAGTATCAAGTCTGAGAGTATAAGCAACTACACTGAAGATGACAAGACTCTACGATACACATTCTGGTTTGGTAACTGCCTGCTTTTGAAGTTTTATACTATATACAAAGTTGTGTTTTTATTAATACTGTTATGTAGTGATATATTCAATTATTTATGTCTGATGATATAGCCAATTCTATTGAAGATAACAAGACACAACACAGGAACTATAGTAGAACTCCTTGTACAATGATCTTATATGTCTTTTTCATTTCATGTGTTTATAGAAATACGTTTTGTTTTGTCTTGCTTTATTTTGTTCCCCCCTCTAATATAGAAAGGATAGAAATACATGTTAAGACTCATGCATGTGTAGAATCTATAAACAGTATATGAGAACTGATCTTACAACACATGAAGAAATGAACAGATACTTTGAAGAAAAAGAGACACTAAAGTACCCAGTGCTGATCCTAGAGTGTCATAATGTAAAACCCAGCAATAGTATTATTCTTTGTTCAGAGTGATATTAGACTGCTTGGGTTGGTTCAATCTCAACATAATTGAAGATCTAGATAACTGAATGTATGTTTAAGTGTATAGGATTGATAACCATATTTCTAAGCTTGTGTTGGATAGTTGAACAGAACTGGCTGCAGTCTCACTGTTTGAATCCCCACTTTATATGCTCCACTTTAGTATCTTGAATAACTATTTGTAAAAGGACAGTATGTAAACATCAACTAGTGATTTCTTACTGTTTATTTTTTTCTTTGAAAGTATGTATTATTATTTCTACCCATTTTCTGTTTCGTTTAGTCTTTCTTTAAATAAAGTTTTTTTAAAAAGGCACTACCGTACCCAGTGCTGATCCTGGAGTGTCATGATGTGAAATCCAGCAACGCTATTATTCTTTGTTCAGAATGACTTTAGCCTGCTTTAATTTTTAATCCCAACATAAATGAAGAATGGATAACTGCATGTATGTTTAAGTGTATAGGACTGACAACTATATTACTAAGTTTTTGTTGGATAGTTGAAGAGAACTGTTTGCAGTCTCACTGTTTGAATTCCCACTTTATATGTTCCACTTTTGTATTTTGAACAACTATTTGTAAAAGGACAGTATGTAAACATCAACTAGTGATTTCTTACTGTTTATTTTTTTCTCTGAACGTATGTATTATTTCTACCCATTTTCTTGTTTTGTTTAGTCTTTCTTTAAATAAATTTTTTTTTGTCTTTTTCTTTTTTATCGGTACCGGGGATCGAACTCGCGACTGCCTGCTTGCAAGGCAGGCACTTATGCCGCTGAGCTAAATCCCCAGCCCCCCTTTAAATAAATTTTAAAAAAAGAAAAAGAAAAAGAAAAAGTCTTCAAGGAAGTCACTAAAAAAATAAAAGAACAAGAAAATATAATCAAGTAGCTACTAGACAACACTGAAAAGACCAATCAAAGCTAAATGGAGGTAGTAAAAAGCTATGAGATAACACAAAAGAAATTATTAGTATACTTATAGAAATTGTCCCAGATTATTTCCCAAATAAGAGAAAATAATTCAAAATGCAATCAAGAGAGGTTTCTTGAACACAAAGCAACTATGATGAAAACATGCTCAGCAAGATATGTCCTTTGTCAATCCCCAAATATCCAACCAAAACATTTTTTAAAGGAGTCACAGAAAAAAACAAGAAATCACATACAAAGACAAACTCAAAGAATTACTTCTGACTTTAACACGAAATTTTAAGGCCAGAAGAGCTTGTACTGAAATATTTCAAAGTCAAAGAACAAACAGCTTCAATGAGTTGCAATAAGAAAACAGTACAAAGAGTCAATGAATCAAACAGCCAATTCTTTAGGAGAAAAATACATAAGACCTAAGGAAAACTTAACAAGAGAAAGAGAGAAAATCTTTGCAATTGGATTGAAAAATACAAAATGACAGCAGACGGGTATATGCCACCACACCAGCTCAAATATTCACTTACACAAAGTGGGCAGAGTATGCAAATTTTAGAGTAGATAGTGAATCAGCAGCTCATAGGCTTGCTATAAGTGAAAAAAAAGGTAAAGAAGGCACAATTTCTAGAGAGAGGTACAGTCTCTTCTAAATATGTTACTTAATGATTTCCAGGTTAATACATGTTATAATGAAATGCAGGGTATCCTTTATCAGAATAAATAATATTTTCTTGTATAATAAACCACATTATTAATTCACATGCTATGTTACTAAATGTCTAAATTCAAGTAAATGATTCTCTAAATGCATGGGTTGTAGGCTATGTTACCAGGTGATTGGTCATTTCAAGGTTCTGCATTATAGCAAATTTTGACTGCTTCAGGAATTTAATTTATTGATGTTACAGAGGAACAAGGTCAATGGGAGTACGTGCTAGAATGATGCATTCCATTCTCTCTCTCTCTCTCTCTCTCTCTCTCTCTCTCTCTCTCTCTCTTTCCTTCCTCCCCTCCCCTCCCCTCCCCTCCCCTCCCCTCCCCACCCCTCTCCTCCCTGGCTGAAATGAGGCTCACTAGAGTTCCTCAGCACAGTCCTCTGTAACAATATTTCTGCCTTGCAACAAGCAGGTTGACCAAGAATTGCAACCTCCAAAATTGAGCCACAGTTCACTCTCATTTTAAAGTGTGCCAGCTATTATATACTGAAAGTTCCACTGAACAATCCACTGAAGTGGACATGTGCTGTTTTCACATCATGCATTTTGAGACTAATTCTTCAATATACATGGAAATGTGGATATCTATTCTAGATCCTGATTTTGTTTCCAAACAGTTCAACACCAGTATTTCTTTTCTTTCTAAATATTTGTGGTAGAGATTGAGGTCAAATCCTTGCATACACTAGGCAAGTGCTCTGCACATCATTTCAGGAGCATTCAACTCAATTTTTTGAATGCATTCCTCTTAATATTAAAACAAGAGACTCTAGGTTTCCAAGCATCTGCTAACAAAATGTTGATGCACTTTCTGTTTCTTTTTCTGAGGAAAAGTGTTCTGACTCAGTAAATTATGAAAAAAGGTGCTTTACTTTGTCCCCCACAGCCATGAGAGCATCAGGCTGACCTCACCAGGGATCTGTCTCCTCCAGTGTCTCACATCAGTGTATCCCCTCAAACTTTAGGAACAGAACAGCTGCAGTGCTGAGTCAGTGCAGTGACAGGGACCCAAGTTTCACTTTTGTTTACTATCACATTTCCCACCGTTTTAGAGAATCCCCGCTTCCTCCATCAATCTGCTGTGGAAAACTATGAGCTTTGTTTAGATTTTATGACAGATTATTTTGCATGTTTTTCTTTTTCTAAATTTAAAAAATAGGAAAAAAACCACATTTAAGTAATATCATTTTTTATGTCTGTTTCTTCATCTTAAAACAACAAAAATTATAACTTCTTTAGAATTAAACCACTTACATATCAGCAGCTATTAAAACCATGCATGCCATTAGTCCTGAGGCAAATGTTTGTCACAATAAAATGCCATGAAGGAGACTACAGTCAGACAGAAACACAGTAACAACTGATGCTGAGAACATGAAGGAAACTCAGTTATTGAAATTACACTGTGCACAGTCATGTTGCACCATGCCCTGGCAGTTTCTGCAACTATGAATAGTCCAGGTGCTTTCTCAGTCCACTCTTATTTCTAAGAAAACATTTTATGTTCAGTAATTAATGAAGAGGCTTACTCTGGCTCAGAGTTTTGGGCTTAGACGTGAAATTTGAATCTGTTATTGGCTTTCTTGCTGACAGAGACCTGAGGTCACCATCACAGGGACAAAGTCTATGAGTGCAGGTAGTGTTCTCTCATTCTCAATTTGAGTCGCCCAAAGGGACTCCAAAAAATTATCAATTTCTAATTGGCTCTGAGGTAACCCAAAGGTCCATATTTATTTAGATAATGCTCCCACCAATTGGTCTATGCCTCTGTGAACTAGAACTTATCATGAATTTTAAATGAAACAAGCCACATCTAACTATAACTGTATCCATATTATTTGATATTTACTATTTTAGACATAGACACAAGACTTTTGAAGATATAAATCTACACAAAAAATTATACATGAATGTGTATATTGCACATAATTAAGTAAGATAGAGATAGACAAGCATTTAGAAAAGGCTTAGGCCCAAGATAGAGACATTTCTGAGATTGAGGGGAACTGGGTCTTAGTTGAGGGCTGAGAGAAACCAGGCTGCACAATGCAGACATTATGGTTACGCCCACAGGCCTTACAGACAAATACAAGCTTAAAATTATATTGCAAGTAGGATCTTCATCTAAGCCCAATATGGTGAAGATACATGATACACACTCAGAACACATTATACATGAATATAGCACTTAAACATCTTGATATCAAGATCAGCACCCACAAAAACTACAAAGATAATCTAAAACACTCTAGTTTACGGACTAGTGTTTAGCTGACTACCAGTGAAAATAGGAAAAAACTGTTACAGAATCCTAAGTGAAATGTCAGGTGTGGTGGCACATGTGTGCAATCCCAGCACTGGTGGTGGATGGGCTGAGGCAGGAGGATTGTTGCAAGCTGGAGACCACCACAGGCTACAAAGTGAGCACAAGACCAACCTGAACTGATCCTATCTCAAAAAGACCAACAAAGAAATTTTTAAAAACCAATCAAAAGTGCAAGACTGTCCCTGTTCTACGTGACTATAAGGAACTATTTAGGGGGAAAACAACATGGTCAAAAACATATTTAACTAATAGATTGAAACTGCTTAAAATTTTTGCAAATATTTGTGAAATATTAGACGCTATCAGCTTCCTCACTCAATTAAAAAAAATTTTAAAAGCCTAGGCTGGGAATTTAGCGCAGTGGCAGAAGCACCTGACTGACAAGTCAAGGTTCTGAGTTTGATCCCTGGTACCAAAAGAAAAATAAATAAATAAATAAATAAATGCGTCCTCATTTTTCACTGTAAAGCAAGGACATTACTGACAGAAATGATCTCACAATCCATACAGTTTAAGAATTCTTTAAAATTGTTGTATACTAGTCCCAATAATTTTTTTACAGAGCTTGCCACATGTGCAAAGATAAATCACACATAAAATAAAATTGGGGAAGGTGATCTGAATATCAGGGAAATTATACAGACTCCGGTTTGATGATGCACTATGATAGGAATTCTTTAATTTAAATGCTTTATATAACTATATTTATCATACAAGTACCCAGCTCCACGCCAAATCGGAACTGGGGTCGTCCCAAAGCATGTGCTTTCCCCAGACTGCTGAGACTGTACTGGTACAATTGAAAATAACCCCCAGGGTCATAAAACGGTGCTGGCTTCCTGGCGACGTAAACTGCTAGTATACTTCAGTTTCTGTTGCCCTAATAACCGCCTGTGTACTTCCTTTTGTTACACAATTAAATTCCCGTTTTCCAAAATCCGCTGGTCACCATGATGTACATTAGAAAAACCAATCTCTAAATGACAAACCACTCTGCTTCTGTACTTCCGTCTCTTGTAACCCCAAAAAAACCTCCCTCCCCGAGCTTTCGGGGCCCACTTCCTTGGGAACAGTGCCAGTGGGGTTCGCTGGGGCAAATAAAGCTGATTCGAGAATCCTCCCAACCTGGGCGCCCCTCGGTTCCTGGTCAGAACTTTGCCGTTACACTGGGGCCACAAGACACGGCACCGTGGGCGGGCAGTGTCACGGTGGGGACGGACTCACGGACACGGCGGTGACCCGGACCCCGCCGAGGGAACAGTGGCAAAAGCCCCAGAGCCCGGAGGACCTCGGGGTCCGGAGCTCGGCGGGAGGCTGCGGCTCCCAGAGCCGGTTCCGGCCGCCTCCTCTCAGACCTCAGCCCGACCCCATCCCTTCCCCGGCTTCCGTCCCGCACCATCACCACTGCGCGGCTTCCCGGTGTCCCCGAGTCCTTCCCACGCGGCCTGCAGCCCGCAGAACTCCCAGAAGACGTCTAGTCAGTCGAGGGTCTCTCACCACTGTGGACAGGAGTCAGCACACCGGAAGTGCCCGCCCACCCGGCGCATCTGATTGGACAGTTCATGCAGCCGCCTCTTCCTCGGTCATTGGCTGCTACTCCACCATCCTCTCTCTGTTGAGTGAGATGAGGAGGAAGTAAACATCAGCCCGCCTGGGTAGAGCACGAGTGATAGACTGTCACACGGAAACTTCTGGGCAAGGCCCTCATCTCTGATGTCACCCTGACCTAGCCTAACAATAATTCCACTTAAACAGTTTACTGCTCAATTTCCTGAGCTGCCCCTGATTTCTGATGGAATCAGTGTGTTCTTCCTAAATGAGGTCTTTTGTGTGTTCAGA